ACCTCGGCCTCTAAATGCACTGGGACTCGACGTGTTGTAAATATATTTACTCGGTCGTTCTTTATAGGAATTTCCAGCTTTACTTTGTCAAAAAATCCATACGCCTCCCCATCTCCAGTGAACAGTTTCGCATACTTTGCGCATAACTCGTTAACGTTAGGTTTCAATCGATGGGTTCGAATAACGTGTTATAACAAATAGTATGCACTGAAAGATATATGACATCGATTCTTAAGTAGTTTATGTTACATCAAAATGTTACTGATGTTTCTTTCCAGAATTTTTACACATAACTTCATATTTTCGTTTAAGTTGTTCTAACAAATATCTATGAAAGACGTGAAAAAATTCGGGATGGCCACTTCTCTACTGTCATAATCAAACAGTAAATGTAAAACGCACAGTTCTGAATTTTGAACATTTTACCGTTACAAGAAGTCCGTTCAATAACTATCAGAATATCTTGAGAATGCTGTCGCTTGAAGTGATATTTATAGATTAGTCCTCCGTTGGTCAACTTACCACTAACAACATGGGTTATAACGTTCATTATTGTTAGAATTTGTTTGATATTTTAACAAACGTATTGTAAGGCTCAAACTGAGGTTTGTTTTGAGGAATAACTGTCCAGGTAACTGAGATCCTCGCCTTGCCCAATTTCGATTGAAAACAAGTGATCGTGGTACGTAACAGTTCTATTATTAGTCATGAATATAAATATACTTCATCACCTGAACAATATTACTGCATTATTACTTCAATTATTGAAATAAGTGATATTCTATCACTCTTATAACACAGAGTGTTTCAAAATTCGCAACAGTGCTCGCGAATTTTCCATCCAGACTGCACAATTCCAGTCAAGTAAGAGCTCAAACCGCTAGAGGAACGAAATCAATATGGCTGTCGCCATAACTAAGTATCAGCTAAACAATATAATGCAGTTTCGGAAAAGAAACATAGAAATTCCGTAAGGCACAAAGAACAGAACTACAATAAAAATACAAATATTATCGTCTGAAAAGGGAAATCGACAGAAAAATCAATATTTAGAACTGAAGAAATCAATAAGGGACATATTACAAATGTATACATGAGAGATTTTCACAACACGAAGCTTCCAAAATGCATCTTACACGTATAATGCACTGACGACATTAAGTGGCCTATCAACCAATCAGTGAATGCGGACTCGTTTATTCAACAATCAATGCTAGAACAACCAAGTGTTGTAAAGATTATTCTGAATATTCAATCCCTACGTATCAAATCATAGCTTATCACACAAGAGGAAGGTTACATTAACTTGATAAAAGTTGGAATAATGTTTTGTCGTCAGCTGACACCAGCTGCAATACTGGTAGGTTATAAATAGACAGTAAATGTACATTTGTATTTTCAGGTTTGGTTTTCAAAATTAGTATCAGCAATTCTTTCACGAAATAGCTGCATCAGCTATGATGCGATGCACTCTGATGCAGCAATTTACAAAATTAGGAAATTAGGTGATGAGATTTGGAGTAAAAGCAATGGAATGGGAGGATATAATCTGGATTCACTCTACTCTACGCATTCAATTCAAACTAGATTCTACAGCCACTTCTCTACTGTCATAATCAAACAGTAAATGTAAAACGCACAGTTCTGAATTTTGAACATTTTACCATTACAAGAAGTCCGTTCAATAACTATCAGAATATCTTGAGAACACTGTCGCTTGAAGTGATCTTTACAGATTGGTTCTCTCTTGGTCAATTTACCACTAACAACATGAGTAATAACGTTCATTATTGTTGGAATGTGTTTGATAATCTAAAGAACGTATTATAAGGCTCAAAAAGAGGTTTGTATTGAGGAATAACAGTACAGGTAACTGAGATACTCGCCTTGCCCAGTTTCAATTCAAAACAAGTGATCTCGGTAAGTAACAGTTACATGATCAGTCATAAATATAAATATACTTCATTACATAAACAATATTACTGCGTTATTCCTTCAACTTTTCGAATTAGTGATATTCAGTCACTCTCATCACACAGTGTTCCAATTTTCCATCCAGACTGCACACTTCCAGTCAATGTAAGAGCTCAAACCGCTAGAGGAACGAAATCAATATGGCTGTCGCCATAACTAAGTATCAGCTGAAACAATATAATGCAGTTCGGAAAGAAACATAGAAACTCCGTTAAGGCACAAAGAACAGAAACTACAAGAAAATACAAATATTATCGTCTGAAAATGAAATCGAACAGAAAACCAATATTTAGAACTGAAGAAATCAAGAACGACATATTACAAATGTATACATGGAGAGATTTTCACAAACAAAGCCTTCCAAAATGCATCTTACACGTAGAACCCACTGACAACATTAAGTGGCCTATCAACCAATCAGTGAATGCGGACTCGTTATTCGACATTCAAATGCTAGAACAACCAGTGTTGTAAAAAATTATTTCTGAATAATCAATCCCTACGTATCAAATCATAGCTTATCACACAAGAGGAAGGTTACATTAACTTGATAAAAGTTGGAATAATGTTTTGTCGTCAGCTGACACCAGCTGCAATACTGGTAGGTTATAAAAAGACAGTAAATGTACATTTGTATTTTCAGGTTTGGTTTTCAAAATTAGTATCAGCATTTCTTTCACGAAATAGCTGCATCAGCTATGATGCGATGCACTGTGATGCAGCAATTTACAAAATTAGGAAATCAGGTGATGAGATTTGGAGTGAATGTAATGGAATGGAAGGATATAATCTGGATTCACTCTACTCTACGCATTCAATTCAAACTAGTACTTTAACGTACCATGTGCTCATAGAGGTATGATATTGATTAATTAAACCTGAACGTCACATCCTTTCACTCTTCAGAATAAAATAGAAATTTTTGTTGATTTCAAACATTTCAAGGACCATCAATTACTAATTATTACTTCATACAGGTAATACACAGCAGCGTTTATTATTCCGCAAAACCCGATCAAAGCTGCCACCTGGACGAAGTGGTCGGGTTCGCCTTTCTTAATGATCTACCTGAATTATGTTGATTGGAGCGCATGTTCTTGTTGATCATAACACGCCAGACAGGTCGACTGAACAACTACTAGACTAAAATGAGCAAGTCAAACTCAGCAGGAGAGGCATCCTGCTAACTGTAGAGGGGTGTGACAGCAGTGATTCCGTCGAACAACCAGCAACTGCAGAGACGCGGCCTTCACGCAAGTCACGTACGGGTGAGAAAACCTCGACGCCTCACATAAATCCGTGCTTGACACGTTAAAAACAGTCTTCTCCTATGCTCTGAAATCACGACCCAATGCCTCTAATTCTAAGGTTATTCTACCTGCTCTTTCAGGTTAGGGACGTTCGCTTTTTTTCCGTTCTGCATCCCAAATCAGCCCTGTTTCCTTCATGACTTACGCATATCACATTCTTTTATCATCCGGCGCCTCCAATGTAAACGGAATGCGTTTCTTGCCTCCTGAAACTTTCAATTTCGGACATTGTCTCAAACAAGACAACAAGCTTCCTTAGCCATGTTTTTACAATTTCGCGCCATCAATGTCTGCTGCATTTCCAAAACACGCACACTTCGCTGTTTTGTACCAGAGCAATGTTTTACTGTATGCTACAGTAAGTATCGTTTGAGATGTTTTGTATTTTATATAATGATTCTGTAATTTTAACAACAAAAGACAAATGACATTACTTTCCTTGTTTGCATAATCTTATTCGCATCTGTTTCCACTACGATTTCATGACAATTTCGCCTTCTGAAACGGTCAAACATTAGGATAATTTCAATTTTGTTGAATAATTGACGTTGTGTTTTTAGTTCTCTGACCGATCAATCGTTCCGCGACAGCACGCATAACACTGTGTTTACATATACAATCGCAATTGTAAGACAAAGCACTAATTCATTTGACAAAAATTATTCACTAATTCTTCCTCGACCATTATTACCACCTCACTCATGACAACCGATAAATTGGTTTGAATGAAATTGCTTCTATTTGTGCCTTGTTTCAACTGTTTCATGATCTTAAGATTAGTTTATCAAACTTTGACGAAATTGTCATAGTTGATTTCGAAAATTGCTTGTTCCCAGTTTAGTTTATTTCAAAACTGAAATGTAATTCAATCATTTTCACCTACTCTATGTTTTTATATGAAGTGGTAATTGTATCCTTTGGAAAATTGTAGTGGGATACTATTACGAACAGAACACAAATGATGAAATGGAAACATTTATCGTTTTACCTAAGTGTAACAATAATTATTCTATTTTACTCATTTTGTTTAATTGTAATATTGCACTCGCGCGTCAAGCGTGTTACTGTCATTCCGACTTTCTCCTCGGTAGTGATTATTTGTTTCTTTATTGCGGTCTTGATATCATTTCGATATCAGGAGACCACGAATCAGTATACCTGTTCATCCACGTACAGTCTATTTTCTGACTCTGAATTCAACGTGATTTACTTGGGAATCTCGCGATTAGTAGGTTCAATCTCACTACAGAGTTAAGAGAAACATTCAACTAATTCTATTGCTTCAAAAGCGCTTCAAATATATTTTTCTCCACTGAAGTTATAGAACCCGGATTCAAACAATATTTACTTCTAATATGATGCACTGCCTTACAGTAAGTTTGAATTGGTCTGATTAGTGTCGAACTATATCCTGATACTGATTACGTATGTATTTGGATGCATATGATTAATTTCAGTGAGAAATCCTAACTAGTATCCAAAAGATTGATAATTTATAAGCTGACAAGAAAATGAGTGAAATTTGGTTGTATTCGTAACCCTACACAAATCGTGAATCATTGAGATGGAAACAGCAGCAACCATATCTTTCTATTGGTTTTTAAATGATGAAAAACACTTGTGTCCCAATAGGAGGAGGATTGAAGTAGAATTTCGTTCACCTAGTTGCACGGTTAAATAAAGAAACTTTTGTGTGCGCTTACTCCGTTCCACTGCTCAACCGCTTTTATCTGGTTCCTTTAACATAGCTCTGTTTGCTTGTCGTACAGAACCTAATGGATGTTGAAGAGGTGACATGATGGTTTTACGGATTGGGAGGAAACGTATTCTACATGTACTTCAATATGAAAATATGACATCTAGAGAAAACTAACTAATCGTCAATTGTTGAGCTTCACTCTGTTTGACATTGATGGTAATGTAGAATCCTTTTTGAATGTTTTGTGTTTTGGAAAATCCCTCCATGTTTACATATTTTCGCTATGACATGATGGACTTTTTCTCTTGACATTTTTGGTTTTCTATTTGATTCCAATTTGAGATTTTATCATTGTATATTGTTATTCTTTCTATATTTTGTACTTATATTGAAGTTTTTGTGTTTGCTTCTGATTTGTATATATGTTGTTTAAATTTGATCTTTAATATGGCTACAGCCATATTTGGATTGATGCAGTGGCCGCTGGACTTAGCGTCACTTATCTATCACTGTTTCTGATACTCTTCGGAGTAATTGTATCCTGGAAGAGGCACTATTTCCAGGTAATGCTTTGTATTTCCATGTTTTTATTTAAATAAGACGCTTTCTCCTGGAATTTTTGTCCTTTTTGATTTCGTTGGACCTGGGACTGGGAGAATCGTACAGGAGTGCATCTATTGGAACCCTATTGGAACAGCCACTGTAGAAATTCATTTACAGGTAATTCATCGAGATCACGTTGTAAAAATAAACGCGAAATAAAAGTCAGTTGAAGAAAGATTGCTTATGTGTAAAATTTATTGAAAAACATTACACATAAACATCCAATACAGTTTCGAAACACTCATATTTGCAAAATATGAATGAGCGAACTGTTTTTGCAATTTGATGAAAGAAGTGTTTCATGGTTCTGAAAGTCGGAACATAGAACATAACGTTAAATGTTTGATTTAGTTGAACTAGGAATGAAACAATCTGCTCAAACATTTTTGACCATGTGATATATACAACATTATGTCAACAGGCAAACTCTGTATTCACATACACTGCGTACATGAATGTGTATTATGATTGAACATAGGGAAAGTCACCATGAAAGACTTAATGTCATTGATAATTATTTGTCATGTTTCTGTTTGTTTGACTAAATATCAACTTTTAACATTACGTCTAGAAAGCAATGCTCATCATTCATTGCATGCATTTATAATCACTTTATTGAGTTTATTCAAAATTCAACATGAAATATTATGCACTAATGAAGGTCCATGCAAAACAATTATATCTAAAAGCATGATGTTATTAATTTTGCTTAAGCAGCCTATTTAGTGGAGAAAGAAATCAGTAGGCAACGGTGGAATTGGACTGAGCACACACTGCAAGAGCACTGAACTGCATCACAAAAAAGCCCCCACATATAACCCTCAAGGTCAAAAGAAAAGAGAAAGTCCAAGGAACACACTACACCGAGAAATAGAGAAAGACATAGGAAGAATGACATAAAACTGGAAAGAACAGGACAGAGTTGGTTGGACAGAAACTGGTTGGCGGCCAATGATCCATTGGAGGTAACAGGTGCAACCACCATCAACCAACCCGTTCTTCCATTGACAATTGAAAAGTAAGCTATGATCTTCCATTTTTTAACACAGGTAATATATCATTATATTTAAATATAAATACGTACTATATATTACACATTTGTATTGGTAAAAAGAAGAATATGAAAATAATGTTTAAAAATTTTGCGGACTTACAAGAGCACTGTTTTGAACATTTCTGCATTGCTTCCAAAGCCATCCTTACTCGTTCATTTTTAGGTGACACTAAGAAAGAGAAAATTATCAGCTTGAAAATAATAACATACCTTTGATGAGTAAAATTCTTAAGTATTCCGATTCTTTCATTAATGTTGTCAATTTTTCTGTCAAAAGCAAAAACATTCATTGCACAGATTAAATCTTCTTGCATTGAGTATTAATAAAGAAATTAAGAAAATCTCAACCACAAAATTTGCGAAACAATCAGTTAGTCAGTCAGTTAGTCAATCAGATTCAACGTAGAATTTCGTACGTACATCAGTGCATATTGCCATACAACAATAGCACACACAAATGTAATTATTATTCCAAATCCAATAGAAGTGGAGGTGGTAACGTTCTTAGAAGTAGTCGGAGTGGTTAGGATTAGAAGATATCATTCAAGAAGTATTATTCGCTGAGATAAATTAGGGAGAAGACAAAACTAGAGGAGTTGAAGATTCCAGAAGATTAGGATTTGAGAGAACACAAAGAATAAATGCACCGGCGCGATTGCAAACGGTTTTGAGCCATGTCATTCAGGGTCTCCAACTACCGATTATTATCATCACACGGAACCAAACCAGGTAGTCCACAACAACCAACATGACTTAGTCCACTTGACAATGAATTCCTGGATTTGTGCCATGTTTTGGACTGACCCCTGCCAACGTTCTTCTAACCTACTCCTACACTACAATACAAAACTCGCCGAGGCAGCCGTTGGTTTGGCATATGCAGCCGTAAAATAGGACAGCGCAAACTACTGCACAGAAAACTCATCCATCATTCAGCAAATGGATACATCGACTTCGCCATACGTGACGGAGGTCGGCAAAGCCAATCGAGGCTTCCTTATGCGAGCTGAGATGTCGTCATACACAAGGCTATCAACACTGATGAGATTCCCTAGATAAGTGAGGCACTAAACACGCTCGACTACTTCACTCCCTATCATTCGTTTCGGTGCCAATGCAATGCGCTGACGTATATATTTATTTTATATTTTTATCAGGTTTGGTGTTTCTTTGGCAATTTAGTGGTTAGTTGGGATGAGGTCGCCAACCCTATGCCCAACCCTCCTCCATTATCCGAGCTTAAGGCCAGAAGTAGCCTTGAAGGTTCCATTGTTGGAGCTCTCGCATATATATATATATATATATATATATATATATATATATATATATATATATATATATATATATATATAAGTTAATAATGACATCAATTGAATGGTTTTCTAATGTTTCAACATAAATACCTAAAGCTACGGACAGTTTATCTCGTTCGTCTGTTAGTTTCTTTTCAAGTTCTCTATTATCTGAAGTAAACGATATAAAATCATGATCTAATTACAATTTGACATGAAATTCCACGATTTGTATTTTGTAACATTAAACAATAGATATATGGTTATTTCGATCAAATGTTCATGTTACTTCACACTACCTTAGAAACCCAAATTACTTACTATTCGTCGAAAAATACAAACAACTCCTTAATGATATAATGAGGAAACAATGTGATTTTTTCGACCACTTTTCATCATTTAAGACTAATTCAACTTGGCAATCATAGTGAATGTTCGTTAATGTCGAATTGTCATCTATTGACAAACAACTATAGACAATTTTAGAATTATCCAAAAAATCTTGTGCCTTTCATGCTGCATTGAAGCATCATATATATATATATATATATATATATATATATATATGAATGTAATGCCGAATGTTGACGATTTGTTGTTATGTAAATGCCTTTTCAACTGCCGCTTTCCTTATTCATGTTTGTTGATAGTTCAGATTGAATTCATGTTCATTACTTTGTATGAATTATGACCTGTTGTACAATGGTATGTTGAAAAGCGTAAACTTATGTTTCTTTGCTTGTTTGTTAGTTATGCAGTCTCTGAATATTCGACTTTACAATAAGAAAGCAGGAAGCTTTCAACTGAAGGTTTTTGGCAAGCCTCTTTTGGATAAAGCTGAAATTTCATTTGAAAATAAATTCATCCTATAAAATATTCGACTAATTCACTGGTGATTATCAATTTCAAATAAAGAACCTCTTCGGTTTTTCACCTTCATCATTCATATGTTCATGTGCTGCTAGTACTGCGTTCCATTCCAACAGCTTCACTTTCCCTTTAAATAAAACAAGGGAAAAGGAAATTAATTGGAGTTAGTCAAACACACACTGAATATTTCTATTCAATCTAAACGATCGATCATAAGAAATTCATCGTTCTATGTTTTATAGGTATTTCTGTCATGAAAGTTTTAATGGCAAAATGATTAAAAATCTGTGGTAACAGTCATCATCACCATCAGCATCCTCATCATCAACAACAGCACGAAACTGATAACACAATGAAATGATGAACTTACTAATTTGCGCTTCAATCTCACTTTCTTTTTCTTGTAATTTTTTCTTAAATAATTCAATGGATTCTAGAATTATAAAGAAACAATATTTCACATTTCACTAGATATTTCAATTATAGTTAAGTTTAATTTTTCATAAGTTGACATTTTATTTAGTTAGTGTTAAAGTAGAAATATGTAGTAATTAAATAGATAAGCACTAGGTTTATATAAATATTGTTGATTTACACAATGACATATTAGATAGTTTTGAAAAGCGATCAAAAATCCTAATTTGGCGTAAGTTGAAACTCACTTTTCGTGTCATCGGTATGTAATTGTGAAATGTAAGCACCTGAGAATGATATAAATAACTTGTTTATGATACACTTACGATACAGTAAAACATTCAGTTTGCATGTTTTACAGTGAAGCTTGTGACATTACCTATGATATCGTCAAGAAATTCTCTTTGTTTCCACTTCTGTGAAATCGATGTTTCTAATACTCCATCATCTGTGAATACAACAAGTTATTTATTCATTCATGATACTGGTAAGAAATCATTCCAGTAATGAGCATATTCATCGACATCAGCCATATTGTCACGACTTAGATGATTATTGAAAAGTAGGCTGTTCGAGTAAAATGTGATCAATGTTGCATTGCAAGTATTAATCTTAAAGATAAAGTTCTTAAGTAAAGCAATCCCAAGTGACTGGGAAACTTTTCTCAGTCATGTTTAAGAAAAACCAATAGTGTCGAATATGTCGGTACATTATTGCGGAATTCTAATCGCTCTCGATATTATAGTTATAACTACATTTGATTAATTTCTGTCTATATTGCCTTTTATCATTGGCTTTGACAAAACATTCTCGGGATAAATGAAAAAGATTATTGCCTTGACGTATATGATACGAAATGACATGAAATGAATGTGTATGAATGATTTCTTTAGTTATTTATGATGAACAGTTTGTCCAAAATGAAAACTCTCTTCAATGAATGAAATGAAATCGAGAAATGTTGTTCTTTTTTAAATTTAAAATGGAATACAATTAATGATTACCGTCTAGTATTGAACTGATGGTTTCATTCGTTCTGATAGCTTTTTCATGTTCCACTGTTTGTTTGTTTTCATTTGGGCGGGGAAAAGTAAATCGAAACTTCAATAAGAAAGTTTCATGATAGCTAGTTAGAATTGATGGAATTTACTAAAACCGCCACAAGTCAACTTGATGAATGTTTTTTTTCGTTTTGTTCAAATAAACAGTGATTTCACTGAATTTTATTTGATGTGTACAAGTAGGTTTTGAGTTCACTGCCAATTTGTGACTTTTCTGTGCAATTTACTGTTGAGAAGTTACTTAAACGTTGATAAGTTATCGGTTAACATGTAGCATTGCAGTAAGTGAACAATTGCCTCTCTTAAGTAGCTTAGCAGTAATATATAAAGGGTAATGGAAGTCACGGTAACTTTGCCAGTTGGATAATTAGTTCATGAATAGAGGCCACTTCGAACTTCATGATGATGAACGTTAGTCATTGCTTATATTGTAGAAACTATGATTAAATGAAAATTCATCAGGCGATAAACACATGTACAGATGTACAGAGATGTTTCTGGTAAAAAGACTCTGTTTTCTTCGACAAATACATGTTTTCATCTAATATGTGCTTAGAGAATATCATTTGAATCGTATTTAAACAACAAAACAGAAGCAATTCGCAGACCGCATTTTCCACAAAACCAAAATTTCAACTGACAATCAACAGACGATTGGATTTTTGTTACTGGGACATAGATGGAATTAAAGCACGACTACGTTGCTGCGCGCTGATACGCTAATTTCCTATCAAATCAGCGCCTGAACGTAGCTTGGAGAACAGGATAGAAAATTCTCGTATTGATAGCTGCATGTTGATTGGTTAAATGTGATTCAGTCGAGCACGTGAATTTTCTTCCAGAAGCTTTATCATGTAAAGCCTATAAATAGACTAGCGTTGTATTTATTTTGGCCTTCTTTGCCTTGGCTTTCGCCATCACCTCCGGCTTCTGATTCCTTGCTATTTTGGAATATAATCTTTCCTGTTCAACTGTGTTTTGATTTTTGGGAACTTGTCCTGTTTTTTGTGTCAAAGAATACTAAGCAATAAGATTTAACCGGGAATTATCTAACTAAGCGTTTCAACAATACAAGACAAATGAATTATATGCTAAACAGTGATAAGGAAACAGATGATTGACATGCATTTTTAGAAAAAATCTACTGATCACGCTTCTCTCCTTTATGTGATTTCGATTGTTTGTTTTCGGCAAACAAACTATCAACCTAGAACTTACCTGATAAATAATGTTTGGCCCATTTTGTGAAGTATAAATTTTCTAATCTCAAACATTCTACAGAGAATGAAAACAAAATGCATCAGTAGTACATTGATTGTCTGTGTACTGTGCAAAGGCATAGTAAAAATCTCTGAATATCAGTGAATGCGACACTGGTGTAACATGGATTTCGCTTGTTCACTCAGTTGAATTGACTACCTTGATGATATTCCTTTTTTCCATTCTCTATGTTGTCACGTGTAATTTCTTCAATTGAGAGAACTGAAACGAAAAATGATGCCAGAAGTTTGTTGTTATCGAAACGAATCAAAGTGTTAGGCATACATGCTAACCATTGTTTTAACTGAATACACACAACACTTGATCTGATTAAGGCGCCAACTAATTTCCACACATGAAGACACAGCCTGTGCATTGAGTTATATGCTAGGTCATATTGTTAAAGTAGCAAACACCCGTGAATCAATTCATTTCAGAAACAATGGTTGACAAGAATATCCAGATTGTATTCTACAGGTTACAAAGTCAGTATTCTTTTCACACACTAAACAGAATGAATGAAACGCAATACTGCATATCAAGACACTAGTACAGTCTACCTCACACTTAGATCACAATCATTTGTAAAGTGAATTCATAAAACATACCATTCATGAACAATATCAAGATGATGATGGTTGCCGACAAAACATGTGTTTGAAGTGAATAAAATTATGCCTAGATAACTTACACTTTTGATCCATGCAGTTAAAATACGTCTCGCCATAAACTATCATCTGACTTATTATAGCAGATGGAACTGTTAAAATAATTATATTTTAATTTTTGTTAAGAATTTTATATCAGTTAACAAAACGCATGCGATAACAACAATTTATGTTAAGGAAAAAAGTAGAAAGTATTCTGAGAATGTGAAAATCTATATCAGTATGTTTATCTTCCTTTCAAATATGAGGTTATTAGTTATTCTGACAGTTTAATTTTGGAATGAATCACATGACATTTTTAACTGGATTAACAACTAAGCCGAATAGATTGTGTGTAATTAACAAATCATAGGAGACGTAGAGTTCGATGGTGTGTATACAAGTGGGTTAACTGATCACGCTTGAACTCCTCACTGCTAAGGATGGTCAAGTGAATTTTGAATAATTTCAGAACAAGAATAATAGACTCACGATTATTGACTTGTGCTCTCAGAAAATCTTGAACAATTAGTAAAAACAGGAACACAAATTTAAGCTGATTTCATGTGGAAAATTTGGAAAGCGACAGTAAAAATCCAAAGTTAATTGTTATCTACTATGACGGTTGCGAAAGATAACAAAAATGGACGAAATAAAGAATCAACGGATATAAAGAGGGTAAAAGTGAGGAAGAAAAGAGGAGGCAAAAAACGAGAATACGATAACAAGGAATCGAAAGAAAAATAAGTCAACTAAACACAAGCAAAATAAATCAATCACTTTTACAACTTACCAGAATCTTCGTCTTCATCCGGGAAAACATAATCGTAAGTGATGTGATGAACTTTAAGAGAAAACCGAATTACAAAATAAAGTGTAATCAGTGGTATGTGTAAACATGAAAAGAAATAATTACGAAATTATGCAGAGAACTTGTGAATAAATGAAAAACAAATTGACAAATCTGCAGTCAGTGAAACAATACAGAAACTGAATGAAGACGGATGGTAATGTTCATTCACAAGAAGATGATATTTGTTTAAATCCTAGTTACAGCAGGAACTTATAAATAGTCATTAACAACATGTTCGATTTAATATCGATAGTTACAATTCGTGCTCTTAAAATTGAGTAAAATTGAAACCTATGAACATACATGAATATAGGAAGTTAAAGAATTCCTCGACTGGCAGTGATACACTCTGAAACAATCTATGTTGTTGTCTTTGCATATGACGAAATTATTTCATACATATTCCCCTGTCCGTCGATGCATAGTTGTGTATTGTTTGTTTGTGTTCTTCCCTTCGCTGTTGCAACGATGCATTCACACACCGTTCCATTGAAATGTGTTCCATCAGTCTATGTGTTTCTCGCTGTTTGCACTTTGTCTGTAACAGCATTAGCTGAGGTTACTCGTCAACCGTTCACGTTTGCGTTGATGTCACCCGATTTTGTGTGACTTATCAGTTTGTTCAAAATGTTCACCACACCGACCGAAACAAATTTCACATACACTTTGTGCGTTTATCGCATTGTATTGGTTTATCAAGATGCTCAACCGTTTCAAATAACCATCACAATTCACACGTGCAAGTACAACACACTTAGGTGCGTGCTTCACTGATTTCGCTCAGACTGATCAGTCATTCCATGTCTTTGTTGCTGACGACAAGAAGTGTATGTGTTGATCAGTAGTGAATGCCGCCAATTCAAACATTGAGCACATCACATTGCCACAGTGTGTGATTTCCATTGAACTGTATCACGTTTGGTGACAGACATGGTGATGTGTGTTTGGACATTCGAAAACGGAACTCACCTGCATTTTGTTTATTTTCTACCTCGTGTCCAACATTTTGATTTACTTCTTCGTGTCCAGCTCCTTCATATTGTTCTGCATATTCAGCGTCTCCATTTGGTGCTTCGTGTGCAGCTGCATCATTTGGATCTTCGTATGCGCCATCTCCATTTTCATTTTCAATATTCGCGTACGTATCTAAAAAATGGAAGCCAATTTTAATTGACTGATTTCATTTAAATAAACATTCTTCTCATTATAATCCTGATTAATCAAGATTTGAATTCATTATTCTGTTTAAGCTATTCTTGATTTCAACATCGCGCGTTTAGATTCGAAAATTTAATACTATTGTGTTTGATAAGTTTATTTATGAAAATTGTTTCATATTTTGTTTCAAATATGATCAATTTCAGTGTAATAACTAACTAAATATCGTCAAAAAACACTAGCAAACATCTCGAACACAAATAAGTGAGTAATGGAGAATTTGGTCAAAATCATTAACAAATACAACGCAAACATTCAATTGTCAATAGATTATTACTGTAATAAAGAATCAGTTAATTTTACACAAATTATACAGAGAAGCAAAAAATCATAAATCACAAACTAACATTTGAAATTCAATATGGATAAGAAGGAAATGAAGAAGAGTATATTGTAGAACATTGTTCCGGATTATGATGATTGCAAGTATCATCAATAGCATTTATATAGGTTTGAAATACACTGAATGTAAACGTGGAATTCACAAACATGAGATTCACCTGAAAACGCGATACATATACAACGCTAGCTAACATAAAATATCAATCCAGGCTCAGTGATCCATGAACTATCCACAGCTAGTAGCTTGAAACGCCAGGCAAATGCGAAATCGGTAGCAGTGATTCAACTGCATTACTTGTGTCTCTTAATTTCTCGCATGATATTCGCGCTCCAAAAGATGGTCTACTGCAGACGAACAGCACATTCAGCTGGACGAAAGAGTGTGAATCACGTTCAGTAAACTCGAGTCCATAATCAGCTCCTAACTGTTTTTAAAAAACTACAATCCGATTGTACCAATCATCGCAGCCGCAGACGCTCAAGCGTATGGACTGTTATTTTGTTGCTCTCACGATGGCTCACATGACGCAAACGACTTACACACGAAATTGAAGTCTGCTCCCCTATATTCACTCGGATCGCGACCTTGTTTCAGTAACCACAGTAAGCCTTCTCACAACCCACAATTACATACGGGACGAAGTCATGGCATATGCGACTCTTGACTTTATGTAACAAGAAATTTGTTATATCAGCACACAATTATTATGACCTTGTTTAGGACATAGGTAGGCTCACACTTTGATGTTCCCAATGTCGTCGCACTCACTCTTGGTAAAAGGGACTTAAATCACTTAGATTGAGGGCGGAGACGACCAACGGATTAGGTGATATATTTGAATATGAAAACTTACAGAGATAGACTTCGTCCACATGTATTCTTATTACGAGTATTTGTAGCCTGGAATGAAATTTCAACCGATCTGACTACAGTCCCATCAGTAGACAGCCTTAAGAATAGACTTGATGATTACGTGCTGACATACAGATTATCATGTCAATCATGGACAAGCTGTTCATGATGCATATATTGAGACCTGCTAGTTGCTTTAAATGCTGCATCAGCTATGATGCGATGCACTCTGATGCAGCAATTTACAAAATTAGGAAATTAGGTGATGAGATTTGGAGTAAAAGTAATGGAATGGGAGGATATAATCTGGATTCACTCTACTCTACGCATTCAATTCAAACTAGTACTTTAACGTACCATGTGCTCATAGAGGTATGACATTTATTAATTAAACCTGAACGTCACATCCTTTTCACTCTTCAGAATAAAATAGAAATTTTTGTTGATTTCAAACATTTCAAGGACCATCAATTACTAATTATTACTTCATACAGGTAATACATAGCAGCGTATGTTATTCCGCAAAACTCGATCAAAGCTGCCACCTGGACGAATTGGTCGGGTTCGCATTTCGTAATGATCTACCTGAATTATGTTGATTGGATCGTATGCTCTTGTTGATGATAACACGCCAGACAGGTCGACTGAACAACGACTAGACTGAAAGGAGCGAGTCAAATTCAGCAGGAGAGGCATACTGCTGTCTGTAGAGGGGTGTGACAGCAGTGATTCCGTCGAACAACCAAGGTCTGCAGCAACGTGTCATTCACATAAGTAACGTACGGGTTGGAAAACGTCGACGTCTTGCATAAATCTGTGCTTGACACGTTAAAAACAGTCTTCTCCTATGCTCTGAAGTCACGACCTAATGCCTCTAATTCTAACGTTATTCTACCTGCTCTTTCAGGTTTGATAACGAACTCTCTGTTTCATTTGTGAACAGCCAATACGTAACATTCGCCCTCATACCTGTAGAAGCATACGGGACCAGAACCTTTGCAAATTATTCCGTTCTACATCCCAAAACACCTCTGTATTCTGCTCCTTAGTGTCTGCTATTAGTATAGAAACCACTGATAGCCTAAACATGGTAGAGAACAAGTTTATTTCAGTAAATTGTTTACGCTGTTGAAACACATGTTTTAACTTTATTTGGGCATATTACTTTTCTGTGAGATAGAATCGCTAAACACATGCAAACTTTCATTGTTTATGCCGATTCATGACCAGCAGTTGCTCCTAAAATTATTAGGGCGTTGGTATCGAGTGAATTACCGACTTACTATTATTTATCGATGTACACAAAAGCATTCATGGCATCGAATAATCTCTCAGTTAAAAAACACTTATTGAACATCAAAACGTGAAAAAAGTTGATGAGATGATGAAAGGAATGATTTCAATCGATGGGTTCGATTAATTTGTCACAACAAATAGTATGCACTGAAAGATATATGACATCGATTCTTATTGCCTACAATCACCTATCTTATTGCAAACTATTTACGATTCGTTTCAATTTGATGAATGGCACAGGGAAATGCCTAACTAATGTTTATTTATGGGTGTAAAATTCACACCAGTAACTCACTTATCTGAAACATTGAATAGCTCTTATCATGACTGTCATACTTCAACTTTATTGTCGTAAATTATTGAACATCGTTCAGAGAGAATGTGAAGCTGTACTTTAATCTGAACTTGGAAGGAGCAGTAGTACCGATAGCCTAATTAAACAAGACGTTGCTTCACGATCAAATAATGGTAGGGTATCTGTGTTTTAAATATAATTATTCAGTTGTGCGAATGTTATTTACAATATGAATTCATTTAACAAATATTTCATGAACCATAAGTAGTTTATGTTACATCACAATGTTACTGATGTTTCTGTCCAGAATTTTTACACATAACTTCATATTTTCGTTTAAGTTGTTCTAACAAATATCTATGAAAGACGTGAAAAAATTCGGGATGGCCACCTCTCCACTGTTATAATCAAATAGTAATTGTATAACACACAGTTCTGAATTTTAAACATTTTAACCTTAGTGAATGATCAACCTGTTATGGTAAGCGAATTACAAATAGAGTTACAAGAAGACCGTTCAATAAATATCAGAATACCTTGAGAATTTAGTCGCCTGAAGTGATCTTCATAGATTGATGCTATGTGGATATATTATCTGGCAAAATTGTCTGGATTGCTTGTAATGTTGGAGCTAGTAGAGAATGTTAATTCCGATAAGGTGTACAAAAAAAAATTGAGAGTAGACTAGAGACCATTATTTACAATTAACCATTAAACGTAAGAGAGCCCAACATCACAAAAGGAGGGAGGGTGGTGTATCTGACCAGCATTCATGACGGTGGGGCGATAACCTCAATCTACCCATGTCTGTGTGGCAGAACATTTTGTTTGCTTACGGCTCCTTACGATATAGCAGGATGTAACAAATCAGTGATATTGATGTTACTTTTCCTAGTTAACCTCGTCTACAACCCATGTCTGTAACCTTGCACTGGTTTTTACTTCCTACCGAGAAATCCTATTACAAGCTGGTCTGGACAACTATACTAAAAAAGAGCTCATTCATAACTTCTTGAGCCTCAGAGTTAAAAATAAAAAGAATAAATACAACCAAAAATTTATATCACTGATCCTGTATATTATATTTTGTAAATCAACTTTATTACTAACAAATTGGCTCTTCTGAATTTCCTCCATTCTTTCGACTAACTTCCCATCAGTTATCTCACTACTGAATTTTCTTCATTAACCTACATAAGCGCAGGTGTAAAGTGTTCTGATATTAAAAATGTTTGGGTAAACATACCTTTGTTTTATCCATAAACATATGTGCTAAGCCATTGTTCGGCTTTGAACATGAATATTTTCTGTTCTGCTCCTCGTCCCGTTTTCTTTATTCCTCTTTTTTCAGAACCTTATTCCAATCCACATTTATTAGTCTGGATATTTGCAGTAGACTTGGTTACCCTACCCAAGAACATGTGAAATCATTAGCTGACGAATATCAACCAGACCTTTGTACATTTACCGCATCAATTCTTGTTATATGAAAACCCATCTGTACCATGAATCGTTTCTCAGTCCATAAGATGATTGTCGTACCGCGACCTTCGTAACTTGCGCCAATTAATCGCTTTGTACATTCCATCTTTAGGAATCCAATGAATCTTGTGAAATGTTCCAGTGACTGTATAACAATTTAAAATAAATATGCTGCTAATCTTAACATTTTGATCTTACCTGTTAATTGGCATGTCTCTTGTAACATGTTTGTTATTTGAGAATAAATTATTATTATTATTATAACATATTGTAAGGCTCAAACTGAGGTTTGTATCGAGGAATAACTGTCCAGGTAACTGAAATACTCGCCTTGCCCAGTTTCGATTGAAAACTAGTGATCGCGGTACGTGACAGTTCTATTATTGGTCATAAATATAAATATACATCATCACCTGAACAATATTACTGCATTATTACTTCAATTATTGAAATAAGTGATATTCTATCACTCTTATAACACAGAGTGTTTCCAAATTCGCAACAGTGCTCCAATTTTCCATCCAGACTGCACACTTCCAGTCAATGTAAGAGCTCAAACCGCTAGAGCAACGAAATCTATATGGTTGTCGCCATAACTAAGTATCAGCTTAAACAATATAATGCAGTTCGGAAAGAAACATAGAAACTCCGTTAAGGCACAAAGAACAGAAACTACAATAAAATACAAATATTATCGTCTGAAAATGAAATCAAGCAGATTACCAATATTTAGAACTGAAGAAATCAAGTAGCGCATATTACAAATGTATACATGGAGAGATTTTCACAAACAAATCCTTCCAAAATGCATCTTACACGTATAATGCACTGACGACACTAAGTGGCCTATCAACCAATCAGTGATTGCGGACTCGTTATTCAACAATCAAATGCTAGAACAACCAGTGTTGTAAAAGATTATTTCTGAATAATAAATCTCTACGTATCAAATCATAGCTTATCACACAAGAGGAAGGTTACATTAACTTGATAAAAGTTGGAATAATGTTTTGAGTTAGGGTGAACACTTGTCGTCAGCTGACACCAGCTGCAATACTTACTTACTTACTTGCTTGTTTTGCATTGGAGAATTTTGCTTTTTCCTTTATGTATGTTGAGACCTACTGCTGCAGAGGCTGCTGCTACATTGGTCGTCTTCTCTTGCATTTGTTTTTGAGTGTGCGATAGAAGAGCAAGGTCATCTGCGAAGTCTAAATCGTCCAGCTGCGTCCTAACTGTCCAGTTGACACCGTGCTTCCCTCTAGACGTCGACGTCTTCATAATCCAGGCGATGACCAGTAGGAAGAGAAAGGGTGAGAGTAAGCAACCTTGCCTGACACCGGTCTTCAACTCAAAGGAGTCTGTTAGCTGTCCTTCGTGTGTGATTTCGCAGTTGAATCCATCATAAGAATTCCATATGATGTTGACTATTTTCTCAGGCACACCGTAGTGTCGAAGAAGCCTCCACAGTATTTTCCTATCCACGTTATCAAATGCTTTCTCGTAGTCGATGAAGTTGATGTAGAGTGGTGAGTTCCATTCAATCGATTGTTCCACAATGATCCGTAATGTAGCAATTTGGTCAGTACACGATCGATCCTTACGAAATCCGGCCTGTTGATCTCGAAGTTGTGCGTCTACGAAGACCTTCATTCTGTTTAACAATACCCTGTTGAAGACTTTGCCTGGTATTGAAAGAAGAGTGATGCCTCTGTAGTTTTCACACTTGCTGAGATCGCCTTTCTTTGGTATTTTGAGCAGGTATCCTTCTTTCCATTTTGATGGTACTTTTTCCTCATCCCAAATCTTCTTGAAGAGGATGTGAAATATTTTTGCAGTTGCTTCTACATCTGCTTTCATTGCCTCTGCTGGAGTGTTGTCTGGTCCTACTGCTTTGCCGTTCTTTATTTGTCTGATGGCCATACTGATCTCCTCAATCGTAGGTGCGCCAAAATATTAATTGGGAGATCCGTGAATGCTGCTTCGATGTTATATGGGTTCAGTGGGGCTGATTGATTTAATAGTTCCTCAAAGTGCTCTAAACATTTATTTCGCTGTTCTACAGTGTTGCTGATTGTTTCCCCATCCTTGCTTTTCACTGGTCGTTCTGGTTTACGATAGTTTCCGGCGAGCTTCTTTGTTGTTTCGTGAAATTGTCTCATGTTTATATCTCTTGCAGCCTTTTCCGCCGTCATTGCTAGATCTTCCACATATTTTCGTTTGTCGGCTCTGATGCTCTTCTTCACTTCCCTGTTTGCTTCCGTGTATTCAGCTTGTGCCTTAACTTTCTCTGCTCTTGTTCGGCTGACATTAATTGCTGTTCTCCAATGTTGCTTCCTCTCCATTGAGTAGATCCTGAAAGGCCTGGAACCTATTGGTGAGGGCTACCTTGAATTCGTTGAGTTTGACAATATCCCTAAGAAAGGCCGTATTAAACTTCTGTGATTTTGTCTGCCCCGTTGTCCAGTGCTTCTTTAGCTTCAGTTTCATTTTGGCGATCAGCAAGTGGTGATCTGAAGCTATATCAGCTCCTCTCTCACATCCTTCATAGTCCTTCTGAACGTTTTGTTGATGCATATATGATCAATCTGGTTTTGAGTAGAGTGATCCGGTGAAATCCATGTAGCTTTGTGTATGCGTTTGTGCGGGAATATTGTGCCACCGATGACAAGTTTGTTCAAGGCACATAGGTTTGCAAATCTCTCACCGTTTTCGTTCCTTCCTCCCAGTCCATGTCGTCCCATGATGTCTTCATATCCAGTGTTGTCCATTCCAACCTTGGCATTCAGGTCTCCCATAAGAATCGTCAAATCCTTTGGTGAACATTTCTGGACGTTTGACTGCAGCCTTTCGTAGAATTGATCCTTAACGTCGTCATTGTAGTCATTGGTAGATGCATAACATTGGATGACGTTCATTGTAATGTCCTGTTTCTTTGTTTTGAAGGATGCTTTAATGATCCTGGGTCCATGAGATTCCCATCCTATCAGTGCCTTTTGTGCATGTTTGGACAGCATCAGTGCAACTCCTTGTGTATGTGAAGCATTCTCCTCTTCATGACCAGAGTATAACATCAGTTCCCCTGAAGCTAGTCTCAGTTGTCGTACTTGTGTCCAATGCGTTTCACTGATTCCAAGAACCTCGAGGTTGTATCTTTTCATTTGTGCCGCAACTTGAAATAGTCTTCCAGTCTCCCACAATGTACGAACGTTCCATGTACCTAAAAAAATGGTTGCTCTGGTTGTCAGAAGAGGCATCAGCCCCGTGACTTCCGAGGGAACTCGGCTTTCATAATTCTTCTTCCAACTCCCAGGGCAGAGTTAAAATGGTTTGAATTATTTTTTCTGGTTAGCGTTTTTTTGGAAAGTGAGATTTCAACGGAATGGGGTCGCCAAACCCATGTCCAACGCTCCTCCTCTATCCAGTCTTGGGACCGGAAGTAGCCACTAAGGTTCTACTGGCGGAGTCAGCTGCAATACTGGTAGGTTATAAATAGACAGTAAAAGTACATTTGTATTTTCAGGTTTGGTTTTCAAAATTAGTATCAGCATTTCTTTCACGAAATAGCTGCATCAGCTATGATGCGATGCACTCTGATGCAGCAATTTACAAAATTAGGAAATTAGGTGATGAGATTTGGAGTAAAAGTAATGGAATGGGAGGATATAATCTGGATTCACTCTACTCTACGCATTCAATTCAAACTAGTACTTTAACATTCCATGTTCTCATAGAGCTAAGATATTTAGTCACATCTTATTCGCTCTTCAGAATAATACAGAAATTTTTGTTGATTTCAAACATTTCAGAGACCAATAATTACTAATTTTAACTTCACACAGGTAAACCATTGCAGCGTTTGTTATTCTGCGAAACCCGATAATAATGCATGTGTACAAATTATTCTGCTTTGATATTTTATTAAGCTTTTGATTATCTCTTGATTAGTATTCTCACACAACATAAAATACAAATTGTGAACATTATAAACTCATTGATTATTTGGTAAAGGCAACTATGTGATGTCAACGTTTTTGTCAGGGAAAAAATTGGAAGGTGTATATAGATTTGGCACTACAGGAATATTGCTGTACATTTAATAGTTTTCAAGTTTTACTGGTGATGGATGTCATCACATCTCCTAAAGCATTCAGGCCCAGGACACACACAAATGTCTTCGAACACTGAAGGTTCCCTGAACTGTGCGAATTTACGTTTCTATCAGCTGTAGAATGTAATGTATACAAGTAATGTATACAAGCAAGTATTTGTAGCATTTCTTAGATGTGGCAGAAGCATCGGTGAGCAATACTGAAGTTGTGTGCAGAATGTTTGTTACAAAGTTCACGTCAGCTGATGAGGCTTGATTCCGAAGTCGTTTGAAACCGCGATAAAACTAAAGTGATTTTAGGAAATATTAGTGAGATGAATAGACCCGTCACTGCCTCATATGAAAATGTTGATGGGTAAACACCATAGCTCACATGCACTCTATCTAAGTTGCTAGGTATTTTTCTGTAGAGAAATTAGTTTTTGAACCAAAACAGAAATCGATCAGTGAAGCCCAACTTCGCAAACGTAGCAAACAGCAGTACGAATCGTACTGGATTCAAAGCATTTTGAATTCAATTAGTTTTTTTTTATAACCGATATTTTTCAGCCACAGCAAGTTGCCTTACTTTCCAACGCTGTGGAAAAATTGAATTCTCTTGAACTGTATAAAACTTCTTGAACGATGTTATGTTTATCCATGTACTTCTTCATTTGTTCATTAATCAGTAGTTC